CGAAATTAACACTTTAAAATATATATATATATATATATATTTCTTTTATCATCTACTCATGTTTTTTTACAGGTAATCTTTCAATAAAGAAAAAACACTATAATTTTTCTGATCTGCTCATTATTGATAGCAGATATTACAGTTGCAAATGTAAATTCCTTTGATGGGGTCATATATCGGTTGACTGGTTCGCGGTAGCATACCTTTCACCACAGTTGATGATGCCAATGTGTTGCCTTCTTCGATCTGATGCATGTTAACCTTCGCTAAAAAAAAGAGTAAAAATTATAAAATGCCAAAAAAAATGATAAAATTGAAAGAAAAAATCTCCAAAAAAATAATATAAAATTGAAAAAATACAAAAAAAACCAAAAAAAAAAGCGAGCAAATTAATGTCAGTTGAAGTTGGCTGTTCTTGCACAACAACACGTAGGTTGCACCATTGCAAAACCGTCAACAATTTTGTCTATTTTTTATCATTTTATTTTTAAAATTAATTTTCCCTTTAAATTATTTTGTTTTTCTCGAATTTCACTTTAAAAAACTAAGTTTAATTTTTGAAAAGATCAATTAATAAAAAAACGAAATTTTGCGTAATTTAGATTTTTTCACTTTATCTTTTTTATTTAAATTTGTATGGTTTTCAAAGTAATTTCCCACCTTTTGTTTGATTTTTCTATTTAAATTCTACATAATTTTTTCAATTTTTCTAACTTAATAAACTTGAATATTTTTGCATTTATCCTAAATTTATTGCATTTGCTTTATTAAATCATTAAGATCAAATTATTAAATTTATTAAATCATGTTTTTCTTGTAAATTTCGTCTGGCAATCAATTATCAAGGTATAAGACTAAGGGTTTCAAGTCAAATTTTTGAAATTATATCGAAAGTTTATTTTTTAGCACATAAAAATTATTAAGAAAACATTTCATAATTATGCGAATTTGTCCTTCCTACATTTATAATGGAAATTACGTGTGTCATAGTTTTCTTACAAAATGTGGACGGCTCAGCTTGGGACAATTCCTCGGTACTATTTATTATTTGGGAAAGAGGTAATTTTAAAGATGTAAGAAATCAAAGCAAATCCTTTCACAAACTGACAGGTATACCTCTAGAAGCTATCCATTCTGACCAGTCAACCAGTCCATACAATTGCGTTGTGGCAAAGTTATATTGGCCATAGGAATGGATGCTGTCAAGCCTAGATGGATTAGAATTTAAACTTTCTTTACCTTCATGAGATACAAAGAAGATTGAAACTTGAATAAATCCTTTCTACTTGTTTATTATCTTTAATATGATGAGAATAAATGAGGGAGAAAAGATGAAATGAAATTAATAATTTGATTATATTTTTAATTAGTATCTGATGAAGTAACTTAACGAAAAGAGTCAATTTAAATACCATTATTTTTTTCAAATTACTAAATTACAACTATACAAATGAGATCAACAAACTCAGTGACTACTATATACGAGTTATATTTTCAAAAATATATAGCATCCCACAATTTGATGAAAGAAAAATTGGTTGAATAATTCATTGATTTCACTAAATTCATATTCTAACTATTCAAATTAATTGAGATATCACAAAAAAAGGTAAATCTTTCTTTTATCTTTCATCATTATTAATAATTGTTACTTTATGAGCTTGACGCATGACAATATTTTGTTGAGATCATGAAACACATTTGTTCTTATTATGTGTATATATATAGGATTTCTATTTACTAATAAAAAAATCTAAAAATTTCTATAAAATTCTTAAAACCAACCAATCGATAAGATATTTGAGTTTCCATTTTTCTTTAATTTCCATAATATGCAAATTTTTTCTTATATTTATATAAGAATAATTTATTCAGTTTATACAGTACGTTTGACCATATTCTTTCATTCGTTGTTCATTTTTTCTTTCACTATCTAATAAATTTGTGCAGGCATGTATTTTGTTGTTCATTTTTTAATTTCATAATCATTTTTAAAATTTATTGACAGGTAAATTTATCCTACCTGTCGATTTTATATTTTTCCAATGCTTGCAACTTTTAAAATTTATTACACATTAACAATGATTTATGTTTATGTTTTTCCTCAAAAAGATTCCTTTCATTTCTATAATTACTTCCTTCTTCTCTTTTTCTTTCACTCTCTTCTATTTTCCCTATTTTCTTGTTTCAATGAAAACAAAAGTTCGAAAAAATTTTTTCTTCATCAAAAGTTTTTCGTTCTTTATTAAACAAAAATTTCCTTCCATTGCTAATTATATATTTCAATTTTAATTTTTCCCATACTGTTTATTCATACAGTATTTTAATTTCAATATTCGTTATATACATAGGAGCGCATATTTATGCATGCATTTTGCGCATCTTCGTTATATACATAGGAGCGCATATTCATGAATGCATTTTGCGCATGAAAGCTTTTTTGCAATGCATATCACGATATTTACATCAACCATACATATGATATTCATATTTTATTCAATTTAACATTAAACACATAATTTTCCCTATTTTTCTCATCTTCCTCCACTTTTTTGAAGCTTTTTTTTTTTTTTGATGGGTAATTTATATATCTTAACTTTTGGGATTTCTATTTTAACATATCTCTCTATTAACCCTAACCATACTTCTTTCAAATCAACTTTTTCAAATTCCAACTTTCTATCATTAAAAAAAACTTTTCAAATCTTTTTGCAACCTTTTGCTTTATTTATGTGTAAACGAGTAAAATTTAGTGCTAAATTATTACATTTCAATTTTTAATTTTATAAAGAAAAGGTAATGGTATTGATGTTTATGATATGCATTATCCATTGATTATTTCAAACTTTTATGATATACTATTGTTTCATGTTTTCATTAGGAATTCAAAAATTAAACAATATGATATATTGTATATTCCTCAAAAAAATTTTAACAAAAAATATACAGTAATATTGATTAGCTACAATGAAATGAATGAATAATTGTCATATTTAAACATTTCAAAGTGTTGTCCAATATTAATAATTGATTACAACTATTTAATACTGCTTCATGTTATATCATTACATGACTAATTTATAAAAGTAATTATTTATCTTTTTAATATATACAATAATATCACTTCAATATTTACATATGCATAATACTTACAACATTTTCCGTTTCTATCTATTAATTTCATTTCATCTATTTGTATGAATAATTCATTAAGTTAATTAGTTGATTAATTTAAATGATCAAAATAATTAAATGATAATTATCAACAGAATATTCTGTCCTTTTCATTGTTAATTTTGTGATAACACAAATTAATCATTTGGAAAGAATTCTTTTTAATCTATTCAATCCATACATATATATTCGTTCTTTCTATAGAAGATAATAATTATTTTCCATCTTACTCCATCATATCATATCTTTACAGCTGTTCCTTAACTTTAACGTATATCATTCATACTTCAGAAATATGTATGTATGTATGTCTGTCGTATATATATATATATATATATATATATATGTGTATGTGTATGTGTGTGTGTGTGTGTGTGTGTGTATGTATGTGTGCATATTTATATATATCCTGAAGACTGGGATAGGTTAGTGTACATCCACGAATGGTTGTACATTTGTTAATGCTAAATATTTGTGAAAAACTTCACTTGCCATCGTTTTTTTTTCTTTAAACAAAAACAAAAAAGAAAAAAAAAGCAATATTTTCGATGAGAATTAGTAAGGTGTAAAGTACGAAATCTGTTTTCAGACTTCACTTTTTCCCATTTTACATATCATTATTTGACCTTTTGTCTGTAATATTATCGATGGAAATAAGAAAGGTCAAAGAATGATCAATTTAAATTAAGAAAAAGATTTAAATTAGTTTCAACAGCAGCTACAGTTTATAATGGACAATCATCTCAGATAACAGATATAATCTTAAATGAATGAATATCTTAAATGTATCCATGTTATGAGAAGATAATATAATTTCCGGAGGTGGCCAATATTATGGAATAAATGAAGATAATAGGTTCCAAATTTATGATTTAAATTGTTAAATCTGTTTAATGGAATACTGTTATTTTTTTTATTAATGTAATATGGATAATTAGAATTAACAGATAGATCAGAGAGAAAGATTCAACAATTGAGTTTATTGGTGGAAATTATAAGCAAATCCGATGGTTTAAATCCATTATTCCGGAAAAGAATGACCGAACATACCGGATTATTTACTGTTATTTGATGTTCCACTGTTTCTTCTCTTTGATTTGAATTTGATGAATAATTCTAGATGGAAGAGATAAAATTGGAAAAAAATATCCAATGGAAATCAAACGTGATATCTGCTTTCTTGGGTGTTTTTTTAATTCGGATTAAAAAAATTTTCTTTTAAAGAAAAAAAGAAATCTTAATAACAATAATAAAAAAGTCTCCCGAAAATATACCGGAAGTATTCTGGAAGATTACCAATTGCATCCATTATAATTTGATTGACTAAAATTTAGCTTTTTACTGAAATTTATTTCAAAAAAACTAAAATTTACTAAGATTTACTTAAATTAACTCCAAACTAAAACAATCAAATATACAATTTTAGTCTTTTTTTCATAAATGTTCTGTTAAAATAGACCCGTGCAAGCAGATAAAATGGTTCAAATATCAGTCTAATTCCCCGTCATGATGATTAATTCAATAGCACTCAGTTAAAATTAATCAACAAATTCAAATCAAAAAGGGATAAATAAAGCCAAAGAAAATTTCATTTGAAATATTCAAGTCCTACAACAAACCGGACAACCATTCATACATATCTTGTTAATTACATAATATGCCCGAATTATTCTTTACCAGAAAAATACTTATTTCATTTACATTACTTAATGTTTAAGTGGCATTTTATTCATCCTTAACATTTGTCATCTTTTATTATTTCCAGTTATTCATCCTATGACATATCATTCCCATCCCGAGTTTGCTATAGGCTGTCCACTCTTGTCCCGGTGCATCGCGAGTTTCACGTGGCATGTCCACTTGTACATCGTGCGGTCTGATGTATCCCTTTCATATCAAATTCCGTATCGTCAGGAAAATCCAAAGACTTTCCACTAATGATGCTATTGCTAACGGTACAATGCCTTCCCTCCTTATGCACTATCGCTTTTCTTTGACTTCAAAGCGTCACCTACAAGTTTAATACCATCTGCCACGTACGTCAAAGAGCACGTGTCCAACTGGTCACATGCCAAATGTAGTTTCACGTCCGGTATCAATTTCAACTGGTATATACACGTAGGAAATAAATGGGGGAAGGGAAGGGGATGACAGATGAGAAGAGAAAGAAGTGATAATAGAGAAGCTTAAAGGATGGGAGGATCAGGTTATGAAAAAATAAGAGAAAGAAAGGAGTGAGGCAAGACAGCTTAAAGATAGAGGCAAGAAGAGGTAAAGAAAAGAGACAAAGAACCGAGGTAAAAGGCAAGACTATTAAACCACTATGTTTTAAACTTTAAATGAAGAGGAAAAAGGTTACATTTAGCTCTTGTGTGTGTGTGTGCATGTGTATGTGTATGTGTATGTGTGTATGTGTGTGTATGTGTGTGTACCTGTGTATGTCTGCATGCGCTTGTGTGTCTGTGCGCATGTCCGTGCATTTTCTATGTGTGTCGGTGTGTGTGTGTCTGCGCTGTGTCTGTGTGTATGTCCATGTCTGTTCTATATCTGTGTATGCACATGATGTCTGTCTGTGTGTGCATGTATATATATGTGTGTGTGTATGTATGTATGTGTGTGTGCGTGTATGTATGTGTGTGCTTTATCGTTCACTTTGACAGGATTTGGCATTGTGCGCCATCGTCCGTGAATTGTAATGGTGTGGGAGGTGGGTTGGTATTCCAGAATGTTGAGGGTGTGGGAGGTGAGTTGGTATTCCGGAATGTCGGGGGTGTAGGAGGTGGGTTGGTATTCCGGAATGTCGGGTAATAAACTGTGGTTTGAAATATTTCCGGAATCATTGATTACGTGAGTTAATGAATAATTGATCTTTGCAATGATTTTTTCTTTTTTTCTTGGGATATTGTTGAATCCTATAGCATGTAAGAGTGGTTAGATTGACTGATTTATTGCTAAGCATTTTCGAAATTTTTTTTTGTAAATTGTTGATTGACTTTTTTTGGTAATTTTCTGAAATTATTGAAAATATTTTCATACATTTCCTATTCTAGTATATTA